TTTAGTAAACGCGAAGCGTGGTGCTGTCTATCTTGTTTACACTCTAACTGATTTCGTTACTAATTTAGCTATTAAAAAAAAATCTGCACATGTTTGTCACTGACAGCATTTTCACTGACAATTGATATGGTTTGCCTTGACGATGACTGTTAGCTAAAATGAGTGACCAAAGCAAAATTTTGAATATCGATAGCCCGGTTATGATCAATTCCTCAACAATTCACAATGAATACACCCATGCTATGCGAACGCCACCCAACAAACAATTGAGAGCTCTTATAAAACACCTGAGTTGATCAAACGTTGAATAATAGCTTCCAGAGTTGAACAAGAATGAAGTTGTATTGCCATTTGATTAAAAGTTTTAAAAGCTGTTGGAGCACTCTTAAATGATTGTTTACGTTCGGTTTAACTATATGCTTTATAAGACCTACGATAACTTTTATAGCACCTTAGTTAAACTGATTCCCAAGAGCTATACAGAACGTGGAATAAACGCATCAAAACAAACAATTGGGAGCTCTTATAAAACACCTGAGTTGATCAAACGTTGAATAATAGCTTCCAGAGTTGTACAAGAATGTAGTTGTATTGCCTTTTTGGTTAAACGCTTCAAAAGCTGCTTGGAGCACTCTTAAATGATTGTTTACGTTCGGTTAAACTGTTTGACAGGAGCCATACAGGATGTGGAATAAACGCATCAAAACAAAAAATTGAGAGCTCTTATAAAACACCTGAGTTGATCAAACGTTGAATAATAGCTTCCAGAGTTGAACAAGAATGTAGTTGTATTGCCTTTTTGGTTAGAAGCTTCAAAAGCTGCTTGGAGCACTCTTAAATGATTGTTTACGTTCGACCAACCACCAACCACAATTTTGTTGCTAAAAATAGCACAAGTAATAGGCACGTTTATATGACCATAAGGCAATGATTATTCGACTGCAAGAGAAGTCACTCAAGATGAGCTTCATATACTTCTCTCATATGATCAAAATATGTATTCAAGAATAGAGCAGATGGAGACAGAAGCGGCTGGCAATCCGGGGATCATGAGTTCGAATCTTGCTTCAAGAAACCCCTCGGTGGAGTAGAGGTAAATTATATATAGGTGTTATTGATAAATGCAAACATTAATTTAAGACATATATCATATAATCAACGATAACATTTCTAGATCAATTCTCTCAATTAATGATTAGAGAGATTAATTGAAAGAATATCAATCAAAGATTAAACAGATGCTTGTTACTACTTCCTCCATGATCACAGAATGTGAATTATGGCATAATTACATATTTTTTCAATGTGCACAAATAAATTAAATTAATAAAAACTGTACAAGCAATTATTTTGGCGTACCACGACAATTGTTAAACTAATTTTAATCTGTGAATATTGTGAGTACTTACACAACGATTATTAAGGAGTCATTAAAAAGTGCTATAAACGCTTTTCACCGCTTGCTGTATAGTGATTATTTAGGAGTCATAAAAGAGTGTAACAAACGCCTCTCAGGTTCAATCTCTAATACATTTCGAAGCAGCTGTTAGGAGGTGTCTACAAACGTTGTATTAGAGCTTTCACCAAAACAATAAAGCTTGAGTTTAAATATGTATCTATAAACGTTGTATAAAAGTTTCTTCTATCCGGTTATTAAGGAGTCATTGAAAAGTGTTATAAACGCTTTTCACCGCTTGCTGTTCAATTAATATTTAGGAGTCATAAAAGAGTGTAACAAACGCCTCTAAGGTTTACTCTCTACTAAATTTCAAAGCAGCTGTAAAGAAGTGTCTACAAACGTTGTATAAGAGCTTTCACCAAAATAATAAAGCTTGAGTTTAAATATGTATCTATAAACGTTGTATAAAAGTTGCTTCTACTCCTATACCGCGTATACATATAATGCTGTAGTTGAACAGGTTCTCCAAACCAGTGTAAACGAGAGTTTTACAGAAGTTGTAATAAACAAATTGTACAGTTATTATTCAGCATGCAGTTGAATAAAATCACAATGGAAGCGTTTCTTCAACAAGAAATTGATTTTGGGTAAACGTTTTACTGAATACGTTAGACAACACCTTTGTGTTGCAGTTGTATAGGTTCTCCAAACCAGTGTAAACAAGGGTTTTATAAAAGTTGTGGTGAACACATTGTGCAATTATTATTCAACATGCAGCTGAACAAAATCAAAACGAAAGCGTTTCTTCAACTGGAAATTGTTACACTGATAGGCAAAATAAAGTGCCCACCCCATCATTTTTTGAATTTCTCTCATTTATTTGGTTCAAATTAAAGTAAATACACTGTAGTATTTTTTATATCTTATTCTTTATATTCTTTTTAAGTTTCACTTATAGAATACCAGATAAAAAGAAGAGACTGACTCGAAGAAAAAAAAATCAAAATGGGTGTAAAAAAGAACAGTGACAAAAAAAAGTGCCCACTGCATTTTAACTCCAGAAAACATAAAATAAAGTAAAAGAATACCAGCCTAATAGTTAATGTGTCCTCCTTTGGCCTTCAGGACCAGCTGCAGGCGCTTCGGCATGCTCTCCACTAGATTCTTCAGGTGCTGTGGATCTAGTTCTTCCCAGGCGCGCTCCAGGGCTTCAAAATAGTTATTTTTATTGGTAACACCAGTTTTGTCAACCCTGGCATCGAGAATCGCCCACAAATTCTCGATGGGGTTGAGGTCCGGGCTTTGTGGAGGCCATTCCAGTGGTTTAATTCGACATGACCGGAAGAAAGACTTAGTCTTCTTGGCAGTATGCTTCGGATCGTTGTCCTGCTGGAATACGAATTTCTCCTCAAGGCCCGTCTGGATCAGCGAAACTTCCAGATTTTCCCGCAGGATGTCGATGTAGGAATCTGCCGTCATTATCCCGTCGATTTTCACCAGGCTTCCCACTCCACCCCACGAAAAGCACCCCCAGACCATCACATTTCCTCCTCCATGCTTCACCGTGCCTTGTATGTGGCGCTCCTGAAGCTCCTCACCCGATCTACACCACACACGAACCCGTCGCTTCCGGTTGAACAGTTCGAATTTTGATTCGTCCGTCCAGAGAACCGTTTTCCAGAACTCTAGGGGCTTATCAGCATGCTCCTTAGCAAACTTAAGCCGTTTGACTTTGTTTGCCTTGCTGATAAATGGGCGCTTCCGAGCAACTTTGCTGTTCAACCCCTGTGCTACGAGACGGCGACGAACAGTTCGACTGGAAACTGTTAGCTGAAGAGCCTCCTGGATCTCGCGGACAGTTACCTTCGGGTTCTTCTTCACTTCACGCATGATCTTGGTGTCCGTTCTCGCATCCGTTTTGCGCATCCTGCCTCTGCCAGGGCGATCCACCACTGATCCGAACGATTTCATTTTCTGCAGAATTTTCCCGACCGCTGTTTTGCTGATATTGTACTTCCTAGCGACAGACCGGTGCGATTCACCGTTTTGCACATCACGAACAACCAATTTTCGGATACACACGGGAATTGCTTTCGAAATCACTACGTCCTCCATTTTTTTCAACTGATTCAAATGCGATCACGTGTACAAATGCACCAGTTCCACCCGTTTGCTTCAATACATGTCAAACTTTCAAAACAAAAACAATCGAGGGGTTTTCCGATGGAAACTTATCGAAAACATACCGATTTTTGAAGTGGGCACTTTTTTTTGTCACTGTTTTCTTTTTCAATCCAAATTGATTTTCTTTTACTTCAAGTAAAACTTTATATTTTCAGTATTCCATAGGTGTAACTTTAAAAGAATAATAAAGGTAAGACATCGAAACAGACTACGGTGTGTTTATTTGAATTTGAACCAAATAAATGAGAGAAATTTCAAAAATGATGGGGTGGGCACTTTATTTTGCCTATCAGTGTACTTGGGCATGCTCTATGGTAAGCGCATAATGAAGCATTCTGGTAAATACTCATTAGGATGTGTCAATTTTGAATAGTGGGCGCTCGGCTGGGCGCTTCACCGGATTTTCAAACACATGAGAGTTGTCTGCACTTTCAGTGGCCTTGGCACTGCCTCCAATCACTGCTGTCACTGAGGATTTCTCTGGGGTTAGTTTGCTTGTGCCAGCTTTTGCCCAGAACTGCAGCAACTTTTACCCATGCTTCTCTTGTCGAGTTCTGAAATCTTGGCTAAAACCAACGATGTAAACACTTTGGGATCCTGTATTTAAGCTCATTCTATTGCACCACCACTGCTTCTTGTGTCTGCTTTTATATTAACCTAAGTGTAGGGACCGGGTCCCAAAAAGGTTCCGCTCTTTTGTGCCGATCTGCAGTCCAGTATGTCCCGTTCAATTTCACCTGCCTTTCTCCAACTCATCTCCGTACCTAAGAGATGAACTAGCCTCAGGCTAAAAATCTCTAAAATAAAGATTAAAAAAAAAAAAAAAAAATCTCCGTACCTGTCCGTACGTTATCTGTCAAAACAATACACGCCTATATCAAGTTACTCAAATCTGAGTTAAACACACTCTAAACATAAAACGATCAGATCAGTCCCAGTCTCAACCTTACACTAGGTACATTTTCGCATAGAAGCTACATGGATAGAAATCTCCTTATATTTTGGCAAATTTCCATTGCTAATGTATAAGTCAACTAATAAGCAGACACCTTTTATGCATTCTAATAGGACCTATGTGGTTTGTTTTATGGAATGTAAAAGGCTGATGCTTTGGCAAAAATGTATAAGTGAAACACATGAATTAAATAATTGATTTTCGTTTCGTGTAGGTAAACTGAAATATAATTTCCTTCTTTCTCGTTTATGTGTTTTAGGTAGTAACTTGAAAAGCCATGCGTGTCCGTTTCCTTGATCCCTGTCCCAGGAAAACAAGTATGCAGAGTTGCTTAAGCATGCTAGGTCTTTAAACCCAGGAAGCTTGAAGGGAATCTGAGAGGTGCTGTATTTCATTACAAAATATTTCGTGATTTACAAATTAGTAGTGTATTAATTTAGACTGAATGTATAATCCGCCCCTTTACGGCTTTACCAGTGACGCTTTCGATGGGTATGCAAAATGCCCTACAAACAGCGGGAACTGCTGCGATTTCTTCAGTATGGCAAAAACGAACGGACGATCTGCATCGAAGGTCAGCGAGGCACTCCTGGTAACCATGGTGAACGCTGCAAAAACACAAACAATGAACAAGGAATTCTTCGTCGAATAATCAATTCACCCATCCTACCGGAAACAGCCGCAGCCCGAACTCCTTCCTCGTCGATTAGAACCGTTACACTGTGCTTAACCTTATCGAGGGTGAGCTTTTCGTCCTTGAAAATCTGGAAGATGCTCCACTCAAACGGTGCCGTTAAGTGTAGCTTTCGAAAGACGGAATTCACGTTAACACCGTTAGCCAAGCGGACACGTGGCAGCTTTACCGATACCCGCATCGGCACAAGACTATCGTAAAGATCCTTGAACGAACTGTGATTTAGCTTGCCTACCATCTCAGTCATATTCCCATCTCTTTCCAATGGCATCACTATCAACAGGGAGTAATCGCTTCCCATCTGGAAGGGAAGTTCAATCGCTTTCATCATCAGCCTGTCGTGCAGGGTCATCGGTAGCATCGTATGGGGCAGGTTCATAAAATCCGTCATGTAGAGCTTCCCGTTACCGTAGGCGTTGAACATCTCCAGTTTGGTTGAATTCACATTGAATTGATGTTCCCACTTACAGGCGAAAGCAACCGCATTTAACAGGATCATTCTGGTATTCGGGGTCAGATCCTTTTCCGATAGGACAGTTCCAACCATACCGGAGGTGGTCGCCCTCGCCCAACTGTTCGCCAACTGTGGAACATCCGTCATATTCAACCGCGAATGCCTTTCGACCGAGGCATTGAAAGTGGCCACATTCGCTGCGAATGTAGGATTGAAAATGTCATTTCCGAAGGCATACATCTTCGTTCCGTACTGGAGGTGCTGATCCTTGCCCAGTGCTCGCAGCATGCGCCGATACTGATCGGTGGCTTTGACAACGCTGCCCGGAAGGTGCAACTTTTCGATCATCTGCCGCAGTGTGTAGCGATCGGTGACGGCATGGGCCAGCATGGTCATGCCCAACCGGATCGAGAAGGGCGATATGGCCACGTTGCGACGCTCATCGAATGTAGCCTGGCGATAAAAATGAAATACTAGTCAAGTACCTTATCGCAAATGAGTTGAGATTGCAGGTACGTACCTTGAAAAAGTCCCATATGAATTCACTGGAGAACAGCGGTTGATCTCTTGCAGCAACTGATATCGTAAGTAGTGCTGCAGCTAGGAAAATCTTATTCAAATGACACATTACGAACGGTTCTGGTCGGGAATGTGTTTCTATTCCTATTTATATCCATACGTTCCAGCAGCACTTGATTGACTGTGATTTACGACCATATGGTGAAGCTGGTGGTTCATTCAACATTTAAAATAATGTTCACGATTTACTCTTGGTTGAATTCAATATTATAATAATTAATAAGTTAGATTCCGGCAAAAGTTCAATACAGGGAAAATGGATGTAATGTTGGACTGAATGCCTCTAGTTTTCAATAGTGACCAAAAATATCCATTAGTGCCATCCCAATGACGCGTTCATCTAGATAAAATTGATAAATAGCAGATTATTAGCGATGGGCCCAATCTTAGATCCATAGGCCAACATTAGAGCCATTTCCCCTACGTAAATATTTCGTGAGAATTAATTTTGATAATCGGACGTTATTTTTGGGAAGATTCAAATTGTTCTTCTTTTTTAATTACTACGGATGCTGGTGACTTAAACCGCTAGTAGAAAACCCAAACAAATTCTCAACTGTCAACAAGATCACACGCACACTATGTTGCACGCTTGTGTGTAAGTTGCTGGAAATCAGCAAAAATTTGCTGATTTTAGACTTGACGAAAGATCAGTAAACTTTTCAGCAAAACAATGCAGGAATTCACTTCTATCAAAATCACAGCATTTTACTGAATCTTAAGTAAATATGTTTGTTTTTTTTTTTTTTGTAATGAAGCTGCTGACTCAAATATGAACCAACAGGTCTGTGCCATTTAAAAGGAGGAAGCTGCAGGCTGCAATACAATAATACACGCAGAAAAATTTACCGTCGAAACAAAAATATTTGAGGTAAATTTAAACGTAAACTCAGTTTGTTCTGGCCACAAACATAAACTAGGTTGATTTCGAACGTATTCTACGTTTGAATCCATTGAAAATAATGTTTAAAACAAAAATAATGTGACGTTTATTTTAAAAATATTCGTGTTGAAAATAAACGTGAATATTTTTGATTTATTTGAAAATTATATGAGATCAAAAATTAATATGTTTATTTTAAACATGCTTTTCATGTTTAAAATAAACAAACATATTTTGAAATTATATTAGCATTTGAATGCTGAATAAATCAAAATAAAATGGATAGCAAATAAATGGAAATTCCTGCGATTATGGAAAGTCTGTGGATGTTTGGATCCGAGGGGCCGTCGGGGTGGGTGTCCGATCAGATCCAGTTCAGTAAAACCGGTGAAACTTTGTGATATTAGCGTCATTTTGTCGTTTCTGACGCTGGTCCTCATGCCGGCCTCTTTCTAAGTTTAGTGTTCGGGGATGATCTGTTTTTCTTTCGACGTCTGGTGGGGGGTGAGGATGATATGGGGATCGGTATCAGAAACGACGGATTGACGTTAATATTGTGATGTTCCACCAGTTTTGTCGAGCTTGGAACACTTGCTTGCGTGGGTTTCCGGACCCTCTACTTCGGTTTCGCCGCTTGCAGGCCGTTTTCGGTTAAGTTTGCCGAATGTAAACAAGAAAGAAAAAAGGACACGCTAAAAATTGATCACCCAGATTATGTATTGTTGAACTAAACATGCTTTTGAATTTAATTCAAACATACATATTTTTGTTGCAAACATGTTTTTAATTTACTCTGAACTATTCATATTTTTATTTAACAAACATTTATATTTTTAACTTAAATGAACAAAATTTGGTTCCGTGTACGTAGATCGAAGTGTGCTCTGGTTCTGTATGAACGCGAAAAACTTCCGAGTGTCAAATTTTCGGTTTTATTTTTTCTGGAATTAATGTTTTCATCGTGTTTTAGCTCAAAACAATGAACCACTCGATAACATAGTTCTAGAAAAGAACTGTAGTGTAAAGCAAGTGCAAGTGATCAGGTGAAATGCATTCAAAAGTGTTTTTTTTTTTTTTATCAACATCCTTTTTGATGCCCGATGATTCTGCTTGGAGGTGGATTGAGCAAGAGTTTCTTTGAAGATCCGATGGAATATTGAGCTAGAATTCAGAGATGCAACAGTCTTTCAAGTTATTGCTGCATGGAAACCCATGGTTCATTAGGTGAGTTCGTTCCTGTTTATTTATTAACCACCGGAACGTTCCGCTACTTTTCATCAGTTTTCTACAACTTTGTCTTAGACGAGGGGTAGGTCACTCCGCACACAAATCTTGGGTCAACATTTTTCTCACTGTGCCGATTGTGCCGGCAGTGCCGGTCATAGAGCAAGCTGTGATTTTTTGTATTTCTGACAGCTTGAATGTTTTGGTTTGCAATCGCAAGGATAAAGGCTGGCGCACAATGCCTGAAAACTTATCCACTCAGCGGTCACTCAGCGGTCTCAGCCGTTCAACAGGATACAACAAAGAAAAACAGCCGGAGATCGATGCAAAAATTGAACGGCTCCGAAAATGTCGAATATCGTGCTCGATACGGATTCTTTCTACCGACGATGATTAGCTGCAGCAGGTGGATTGCATTCTGACGGCGGTTGACGTAGACGAGGAAACCATCTAAAGTAAATCAACCTCGCTGCTGGGATACGACTGACCGATACGATTACAGTGCTATGCGAAAAATCCACTGAAGAAGATCGACTTCTTGAAGCAGATCGAGAAGGACGGTGTGGAGGGCATTCCGTCAGTGAAGCTTTTGGTTCGGGATACAAGTCCTACTGCTCCATTGTCGTCCAAACGTTGCTGGTCAATTCGATGGAAACGATTCAGAAGCACTGCATCTTTCTGCTCAATCTGGAGGAGGAACTGCCGAGGGTGATGATTCCAGGCAAGAAGCTCTTGGAGGTTTTCGACGTCGGAATTAACCAGTGAAATCAAGGGGTAAGTCACTCAGCACATTGTGCCGAAATTATATTCAGCACAGCTTGGGCACTTCCATCGGCACATTTTCATCATACCTTCGGCACAATCTCGTAGGCATTAGATTGTTGTAAATAAAATGGGAGCACTGCTGGACAACTGTCATTGAAGTTGTTCAGAACATTACGTGCTGTTTGACTGTATGTTCAAGAACATTTTCTAATTGAATATACCAGAGGAACTCAGACCAGCAGTTCACTTATAGATCTAAACATGAAATGTAGGTTCTAGAGTGGACTCAAGAGGAAGAGGCAGTTAATCAAACTTCATTAGTACCCTTAATTCAAATAATGCTGCAACTCACTCTAAACAAACTAAAGAAGTCTATTCATCACCCTCTATAGTCGGTCTCCAACAATGCTCCTTACCGCTTCCAACTCTTTCCGGCCGAAAGGCTAGGTTTCTCGTCTGCCTTTGGGGGCATTATAAAACACTAGCATACAGGACTTTTATTACCCTATGGATCACAAAACACCGAAATTTCGCACACTCGCCACTTCCCGTGTCATCCTCAATCCGATTTATCCTTGCGATTTCAAACCAAAACATTCAAGGTGTCAGAAATACCGGGTTGCCAGGATGGGTATTTTACAAACAATTGCAGCTTGCTCTATGACCGGCACAATCGGCATACTTGCGGCACACTGACAAAAAAGATGACCCAAGATTGGTGTGCGGCGTGACCTACCCCTTGAGTGAAATTCGGTTTAAAAATTGTAAGTTAATTAGGTTGAGTGGAGAGTTTGGTTTGGTAGATTGCTGGTGATTTGCTGCTGAAAAGTAGGGTTCTTACAAAGCCACATCCTGTCACTCCCGAGCCGTTTCCTCAACATAAAATTTTCTTGATTAGCCAGTAATCTTCTCCTTTGAGTTTTCCGTATCCAACCGCCACCAACCCACCCAAATGGTTCTTGCATTTCGGTTCGTAGTACACTCCATTTGCGTAGTAGCTGACAGACTTGTGACCTGCATCGATAGCAATCGACAGCCCTCGGAACCCAAAGAAGCATTGCAAGTTTTATCGTGGTTTTATAGCATTCTACAAGTCTAAATCAGTACCAACATTTCAAAGGGGCGTAATTGTGTTTGTAAACAATGGCTTTAGCCATCGATTTCTCGCAAATAAAAGCTCACTCATGAAAATAAATTACACCAGCAGATAGAGGAATGTTTCCTCTACCCGCTAGCATTGTTAATTTGGAGGAGTGAGCTTCTATTTGCGAGAATTCGACGGCTAAAGCCATTGTTTACAAAAGCAATTACGCCCCTTTGAAATGTTGGCACTGATATAATGGTCTTCAGAACCCTCATAAAACCCAAGTTGTTACATGGGAAGCCTACATTTCGAATTTAAATGTGAACCGAGAAGTGAATTGCTGGTCTGAGTTCCTCTAGTATATTCAATTAGAGTATTTTTCTGAAATACACAGTCAAGCAGCACGTAATGTTGTGAAAAACTTCAATGACAGCTGTCCAGCAGTGCTCCCATTTTATTTAATGAACAATCCAATGCCTACGAGATTATGCCGAAGGTGTGCCGATGGATGTGCCCAAGCTGTGCCGAATCTACTTTCGGAACACTGTGCTGAGTGACTTACCCCTTGGTCATAGACATCAAATCGAAGAGCCGCTTTCGTGTTGTAATTTGTTGAGAAATGTCGAGCGCACTATTTTCAAAGATTGGGAACGCGTGAGAATGGCTAAGTTCCAGCTCAGATTAGCCCACTGGTTTAATCGGCAATATAGTCGTCCTAGTGCTTTTGTTTCTGGTTTTAGAGGTTTGATGTCTTCAGTGATGTTTTTGTACTTGAAAGTTCCCTTTTTTATGATCATGATGGGTCTAAAGATCTTTTAAACTAGTTTGGAAATAGAACGGAAAAGTCTTGGAATAGTGTCATTGGTTCAAAAGTAGTAGATCTTTCCTTTATTTTCATTTGTATGTACTGAAATGTATAATGTATTCTCGTTCCATTTCTCTCTACTGAAATCTAGTTCTCACCTCTTCGTGTTCAGCGTTGGAAAATTTCGCTACATTTTATGAAGCCTCACAAAAGGAAACGTTCGCGAGTCATTGTGAGTTTTCTCGAACTTTTCCTGTAGATTGATTAGAGACCCGCTTTTTCAGTTTTCATACAAGTGGAGATACAACTAGGTTTCCTTTTCATCAATTTTTCTCTTTTCAGAAAGCGAGTAATGGCACTATAACCAACCGGTGGAAACTAACGATTTTAAATAGGGTCCATCGGTCCCAAGTACATCGATGAACGTCCCCCATTCTAGTTGAAATTCTAGTACTACACTATATTTGTTTTGATTTGCTATGAAATTTTGACAGATAAAATGAGGGGCTCGTGGATTTTCCTATGTTTCGATGAGGGGCATCGATTAGCTTGGAACCGAAGAAAGTACACGAGCTGAGCCAAAAAGTTGAGCATGTTTCTTCGGGACCTTCTGGTCTTAGAGTTACCTCTATACTATAGCCATAAGCCATATAGGACTAGGACAAGAGTAAAGCTGGGTTTAGACTAGGCAAGTCAAATGATCATCTCAGTTGATTACAATTGGCTTGAAAAATCGAGCGTGGTTCAACTGTTTTCAATTCAAGTGAGTTGATCAAGTCATTTCAATGGCATGGTTAACACGTTCAATTTGCGTTCAAGTCAGTTGAATTCAACTTGCCTAGTCTAAACCCAACTTAAGTGCTCATGTCCCGACCAAGATCTGGAAAAGACGTCATGATTTTCAAACCAATTTCGCATAACATCGTATTTCAACTGCTTACGAGAAACGAACCACTAGGTACTGTTATTACAAGAGAGTCATGCACTGATTTGCTTTGTTTACCAACTTGGCACCGAGGGGTGGCAACCGAGGGATGACTACGATGTGTCTTTGCCAGACCTAGGTCCCGACCACTAGAAGAAAATGGAGCATCACTTAACCTTTTTAGACTAGATGCTCCCAACGACAAATTTTCTATACATATGTAAATGAATTTATGTCTGTCTGTCTGACCCTCATAGACTCGGAAACTACTGAACCGATCGGCGTGAAAATTTGTATGCAGGAGTTTTAAGGGACTGGAAAAGGTTCTTATGGTTCGAGATCCCTCACCCTCTTTGTAAGGGGCGGCTCCCATACAAATGAAACAGAAAAATATAGCATGCTGTTTTGAATCGGTGCATAAACTCAAGCTAATATTGAATCCCGAGCAAGACCAGGCACACTCAGCTAGTCACTTATAAATAACAATACAAGGGAACGTACGGTACGAGATGTCCACGTTTCATCCATTTATTGGATTGTGAAGCATCGTGTTTAACTCTTTGATTTAAACAGGCTCGATGTTATTGAATCATCTTGCCCCTTAAATGCTGCACAGTAGAACTAGCCGTTTTGATATAAAGGGTGATACGGTCAAAATTTGGTCAAGGGAAAACGCGTGTAAATCGGTGAAATCGTTTATTTAAAAAATCAAATTAAATTTCTTTTTCAAGTTCAATTAGTATAAAATTCAGGAAAAATATTCAGTTAGGCTTCCGCTTTTCCAAATCCGAATTGCCGGGTCTTACGCTTGACCCCTGCCATCAGATTTTGTACAGCCACCTTGTCCACCTTCTTCGCCGCAGAAAGCCAGTTTGCCTTGAACTGCTGCTCGCCCTTAGCAGTTTTTTTGGTCTTCTTTAGGTTCCGCTTGACAATAGCCCAGTATTTCTCAATTGGGCGGAGCTCTGGCGTGTTGGGAGGGTTCTTGTCCTTGGGAACCACCTGCACGTTGTTGGCGGCGTACCACTCCATGGCCTTTTTACCGTAATGGCAAGATGCCAAATCCAGCCAAAACAGTACGGAACAACCGTGTTTCTTCAGGAAAGGCAGCAGACGTTTATTCAAACACTCTTTCACGTAAATTTCTTGGTTGGTTTCGTCGTCCATTACCACGCAGTCAAACTTCGTCAGCATCGTCGTGTACAGCCTCCGGGATCGCGCTTTGGCCGTCGTATTTTGTTTATCATCGCGATTTGGAGTCACTACCTTCTTGTAAGTCGATAGTCCGGCTCGTTTTTTGGCTCGATGCACGGTTGTAGACGATACACCCAGCTTATTTGCGGCATCTCGGAGAGAGAGGTTAGGGTTTCGCTTGAAACTACCGGCAACTCTCTTTGTCGTCTCAGCGGCATCCGGTTTTCGATTTCCCCCCGATCCAGACTTCCTGGCTGTCGACAAACGTTCCCCAAACACTTTAATTACATTTGTTACGGTTGATTTGGCAACTTTTAGCGATTTTGCCAACTTTGCGTGCGAGTAGCTCGGATTTTCGCGATGGGCGAGCAAAATTTTGATACGCAGCTCTTCTTGCTTGGACGGCATTTTGACAACTGAAGAGTGAATTCCAAAATCAAAATAGGAGCAACATTCTACACACACACACCTTCAAAATGAGGGGTGTTCAGGTTTTTTAAATGCAAAATTGAAAGAAATACGTCAAGTTGATATTGACCAAATTTTGACCGTATCACCCTTTATTTTGCACATCTCTGATACCCCTTCAATTTTGTTATTGATATTTACCGCTGCTACTCGTATTGCAATAAGAAAGAGTCACACAGGGAAAGGTCGTTCCATCAATTAAAATACACAAACAAATCGCACTACAAAACCACCGACGTTGTAAGCACAGCTCAAGGAATCATAAATATACAAACATTCGCAGTAGTGATGACCAAAGCACTCCAATGGCACAGGCTTGGTTCACTCTTTCTGCAATCGACTTGTAAACAGAGGTGACTGCTTAACACATTCCAATGGGCAGACCAAGACTCCAGTTCTAGACACCAAGGTTCAACTTCTCTAAATTAAATAAATAAATAAATAAAACGCCATCAAATGTATTATCGCACCCATCATGATCATCATTGTCATTGACTCGATAACGACCTGTGAAATTGAATCGTTCGGGCAGACAGATGCTATTTTTATACCTAACGGGGACCATACTCGATACTCTCTCTGTTTCAACCTGCATTGCGACTAGACCTTGGGTAGAACTATTTTTGAAAACACACACACACACACATCGTCCAGCTCAATTGACACCCCACGACGACGCATGGCTAGATTAGTCGATTTATTTTACGATCGTCCCCAACAATTGCGGTTCTGCCCGGACGATGTTCGTCCGTACAGCGTTGTTTATGCCGGCGCAGCATCATCATTGTTTATATTTTTATTGCCCAAGCTCCCATCGCATCCCCGCATGGCTACAAACGGTAGAAGCACCAGTAGTGCTCTGTATTATCAGTGAACCGGGTGTCGTCGGTCGTTATCATTTGACAGCTCACAGCTGATGCTTCTCCGATGCTGTGTCAGTTCGAAGTGATCGTTCCAGTGAGGTGCAAGTGCGCTGACAAGCAAGCTAATAACCGGAAGAGATGAGTTTCCCAGGAAGGATTGCTGCGATACTGGTTGCCTTGGTGACCACGTGCTACGGCGGTGGCCAACTGCGATTCCCGTACGGTGACACCAACTTCAGTCTCAGCGTCTACAAGGTAGGCTACCCGGCAATTGTCGCATGTGAGCACGAGAATGGATGAATCACACAGCGTCTTTGTTTTGGTTTGTGCTTCTCTTTCAAGGCCGCCTTCAATCCGGAGCGCAACATCGTTGTCGCACCGTTCGTGTTGCGCAACAGCATAGCGATGCTGTACTCGATTGCAACCGACACGACACAGGTACGGTTGCGGGAGGTTTTTGGACTGCCGACCAACTTTACCGAGTTTTTGACGAACCAGAAGGAGCTGCACTACATGCTCGGCGGAGGTGGCGATGGCTTCCGGATGCGGAATCGAATTATTCTGAACGGGCTCCGTGAGGTGGACGTGCACATGAGGGACGTAATGAAGGAGGATCTGGACACGACGCTGGTGTATTTCGATTTCTCCCAACGGGAAGGAGTAGTGAGACGAGTGAATCATTTCCTGAACTTCAACACGAATCGAATCATAAACGAGATGGTGAACCTGGACGATATTCCGAAGCATTTGCAAGTGGTTCAGCTGTGCTCGGCATCGTTCAAGCCTCCGTTTGCGAGTGCCTTCGATACGAAGGATACAATGCCGAGGGATTTCCGGAGCGGAATGATAGAAAAGTTGTACACTACGATGACGATGTTCAAAAAGGGAGATTTTAAATTTTCCCGTATTCCTGAGCTGGAGATAGAGGTGCTTGAGTTGCCTTTTGTTAAGTCGAGTGACGCCGTCATGTGGCTAATGCTACCGGATAGGGAGGCGTCGCTGGAGACGATCATGAAAGCTCTCGAGCCGGGTCACTTTGACGCGATTCAGGCGCATTTCCAGATCAAAAGAGCGGAGATTACCGTCCCACTGTTCCACATAGAATCGGAGTTCAACGCAACGGAATTCTTGCGGCAGTCTATGGGGCTGGAGGTGCTGTTCAAGCAGCGGGACTTGAGAATCTTCGAAGATGTTGATTCTTCGCTGGACAGCGTCCTGCACCGAGCTGGGATGCGGTTCTACGAGAAAACTGCCGACGCCGGTGGAGCGACCGTGGTGCGAGGTTTCAACAAGCGAAGTGCCAAACGGAGCTCCCCGTATCAGTTCGTTGTGGCACGATCGTATCTGTTTGTGATAGTGAAGAAAACGAATAAACAAATCCTGTTCATGGGGCATCTCTACAAGCCAGACGACCTGATGGAAGTTTGAGTAGGATGCGGTGTTACAAAAGTGGATATTAATTAGAGTGCATTTTATTCCGAAATTCCTAAACAAGACAGCCGGCGGCCAAAGTGCCAGGAAACTTGATTCCGTCTTCTTGGATTGGTTCAGGAAGCTTGACACGACAACAACGACGACGACGACGACGACGACGGTGGAACTGGTTTATGGTTTGCGTTGCTGGCTGCAGAGCGTAAAGAACTTGCATCGCGCAACGACGTTGGACGAGAAGTCCAAGATCACGAAGATCGACCCCAAAAGCGAAGACACGAGAAGAATAACAACAAAAGCGTCCAACTCGCTTGGAATGCAGTCCGGCGCCATCGAGTCTGTAGGACACCTGCACAACACTAAATCGAATGTACGGCTGTGGCTCTCTGGGATGGGATTGGGGCTCTCGACTTCTCGCTCTTGTTATTCGTTTGTGGTTGGGCGGTTGGTTATTCACTGCGGGTTGTGTTTTTTGTTTTCCTGTGTGTACTTCCCCATATAAGGAGAAGCTATCTCGGAACGCGGCTGGCTGGGCTGGGAGCGAACTGAAATGCTTTATTTTATGTGCGTTCTTCACCCGCTTTGTGGCAGCTCGCTACGCTCGTTATTTGTCGAGAACAGTGGTATAAAATTTAAAATTTGAAGCACTATGTAACTAACTAACAAAAGCAGCAGTGCGAAATTTCGACCATTTTTAGCTATCCCTCATCCCACTGTGCCACCCGGGCTCCGTCTCACTTTATTACCGCATCGAACGCGCGGGTTAATGATTCTGGTTGTTCACAATCACTATCAGAGAGAGAGAAAGAGGTGTACCCATCAGACAGCCAACCAGCCAGTCAGTCAGTACCTACCTATATCTACCTACTTGTTGCGTCGTCGTATGTTGGCGGCGGCAAAGACCAACTAACCAACCGATCCTACGATGATGATAGCAGCGCGTCGCGGAGTGTTTTACCTTCTTCTGGCTCTTGGTCTTCTGGAAATCACAGCAGGGCAGGCCCTTCTCGGTACCCATAAGAGGAACGAACCGGACCATTAAAGTTTGACCTTTTGCGGTCTCTGTCTGACTCGCGGTGAATGGGGTGTAGAGGTAGGTACTTACCCAGAAGGAGTTACCGAGAGGTGGCCGGTGGAGGGCGGCAGTGCGATTCTCGGAAATTGCTCTTTGGTTTGGTGTGCTGCTGTTGCACGTGTTCGCTGGAGGATTGAGAAGGAAAGCACTGTGGGAATGATAATTTGCTTTTGACTTTGTGTTTTGTGCTTTCACGGTTCTATGTGATGTTCTGACTTTGTGTTATGTTGGAGTATTATTACTGCGATTGTTATAAACGTGGGCGAACAGTAAACAATATGCGTTGGCAGGAAAGTTTGCGACACATAGGTGCATATTATCTCCGCCATGTATTCAATTCTATTTTTGACAATTTGACGTATTGAGATAGTTCTCGATATTAGCATAGAGGTAACTAAGACCACTGGGTCCCGAAGAAAATCATTATTATTTTTGGCTCACTCAGTACCAGAACAACGGTCCCAAGCAGTCCCTAGCTATTTCACTCACCCCTGCATGTTCTGCATGAATCCACACACCCCTGATGTTATCTGTCAAACTTTCATAGCGAATCAAAACAAACATAGTGTAGTAATAGAATTTCAAATAGAATAGGGTACGTTAATCGTTTGCTTGGGACCAATAGGCTACTAAAGTGGTGAGCCAATTTAAAATCGTTAGTTTCGTATTGATTGTTGATATTAGCGTAGCGAGGGGTTACAAACGTAGAGTTGAGCTTTGTAGAATTTGAAAACGTTGAACTAGAATTTTAACAAACAAAATAATTTTATTCCTCATAGAATTTTAGCAGTTTTACGAAAATTAACCTCATATAGGGGAAAGGCAGGTAATGTCGGCTCAAGTGTCCCTAATTTGGGCCCATACATAAATTCAGCAATCAACTAAATTTTCAATAGCAACCAAAAATATCCATTAGTAATGTCCCAATAACGCGTTCATCTAGATAAAGTTGATAAATAGCAGACTTTTAGCGATGGGCCCAAATTAGGGACATGTAGGCCGACATTACCTACATTTCCCCTATATTCAGTTTTTACAAAATGCCTTTTTCAAGCTATAACACCCTCCTCCAAACTTTCTGTGTGCGAATGCGACAAGTTTAATAATTCTCAGAAATTACAATGTTATTGATTAAGTTCTGTTTTGTTGTCTATTGGATAAAATAGTTTTGCATGTAAGGTGTTTCTTTGTAGAGTTCTTTTTCGCAATTTCAAGACCACAAATCTTATGATTTACGAGGTTTATAAATATGTAAATATGCTTCTCTGCAGAAAACAACAAGTCTAGATAGAGCTGAAATTAGGGTGTAACAGCCTTTGTAAACAATGACTTTTATCAATGATTTCTAGGAACTCAAGGCACGCCCACGCAAACCAACACAACCGTCGGGTAGGGTAAATTTTTCCCTACCCGATGGTGTTGTTGATTTGCGTTGGCAAGCCTTAATATTCTAGAAATCATCAAAAGAAGTCACTGTTTACAAAAGCTGTTACGCCCTAATTACAGCTCTATCTAGAAGTAGTAGTTTCAGATACATGCATTCCTTCTTCTTCACATCTTCAAGCTTATTGCTTATCGCATATTAGCTTATTGCGTGCTCTCAACTTAGGCACTGAACCATTTGGTGTATTATTTTAACTTTTGGTTAAAATTTGACAGATGGAAACTTATCGATTAACCCTGCTATCCGAGCGTGGTTACTTTTGACAGACAAGAAGTTAAATTTTGACTACTGAGTTCTTCTCGAAAACCGGTCGATCGACAGCACAGGGATTTTCAAACATAGAAAATAACTTTCGAAATGTCACTCTTAACCATGAGTTAAATTTAACTAGGCAAATGGTTCACAGCCTTAGTGCTCTAGATGTGCTTCCACAGTTCTCAATTGAGACCTTTTGATGCCTGTACCATTTTTGCATTAGCATAATTGTGTGGCAAGTACAATCATACTTTATGCCCAGGGTAGTCGTGAGATTTTCCAATCTGAAAAATTCCCAGACCGGACCGGGAGTCGTTCCCAACCACGTTCCAGCATGGTCTTGCTTTGTAAGGCCTGTACTCGAAAAAAATGCACCAGACAAAAGTGTTCGCCAAAAATTTATTTTAAGTCGGATTTTCTTGAAAGTTTCAGGGAATGAACTAATACATATGGATTATGTTTCGGCATAATTACATTATTCAATTTTCTTTCCCTTAAGACCGCTCATTACATTTTGTGCAATGGTGGAGCCGACCTTTTTGGTCACTTACATCCATTCTGTCTTCAACTCCAGCTCGTTCTTAAACACCTTGGACGATTTTCGAACTTTGGCCTTCATTATGACCCAAAATCTTTCCACCGGACGAATCTCTGGTGAATTTGGGGGGCTGGCGGTTTTTGGTACAAAAACAACGTTATTGTCTCTGTACCAATCCAACGTCGATAGCGCGTAATGGCATGATGCCAGGTCCGGCCAAAATAATGTCTCGCCTCCGTGGGACAACAGACGCTTCTGGAGGCACTCGGTGCGGTAAATTTCGCTGATGATGGTACCCATTGTGATGTACGGTTTACTCAGTTTACCGCATTGGCATATGGCCTGCCAGAGCAATTATTTTTTGGCGAATTTGTCCAGTTTCTTCTTCCTTATGTCTTCCGGAACATCAAACCGTGATTTGGCATCGTAGAAGTTCAGCCCCGGTATCTGCTTTGCGTCTGCCTTGATGTAGGTTTCGTCATCCATAACCACACACATCGGTTTCGTTAACCACTCTCGATACAGCTTCCTTGCGCGGGATTTGGCCGCCGTGTTTTGTTGATCACGCCGGTTCGGCGCCTTCCGGACCTTGAATACACGAAGCCCAGCTCGTTTCATAGTTTGCTGAACGAACCAGGCGGAACACTTTGCCTTCAGAGCCGCGTCGCGAATCGAAAGGTTCGGATTACGCTTGAAATAATCCAACACCTTCCGGGCCTTCACAGGGTCAGCTGTTTTCGATTTTCTTCCACTTTCAGCCCACCGCTCGTTCGTCTGAGACTCCTTAAACGATTTTACCATCCGATACACAGTTGTATGGGTGATTCCCAGTTGTCTTCCGATCCATCTCATGGTCGCAGTCGGATTTTCCATGACGGCACGCAAAATTCTCCGGTGATTTTCTTCTTGTTTCGATGACATCTCAATAACCACTGAACCGATTGTTATGAAATTTTGCACATGTAAACAATTCACATAAAAAAGTTACACACGGATAAAAATGGTGCATTTTTTTCGAGTACAAGCCTTAAGACTGTATTCTCAAAACCCTTAATATTTTGACTGGTGAAATTGCGTCGTGTAATGAGAAAAAGGACGCTACAAGCAATCATCTTAAGATTAACAACGATAGTTTCGAGATTTTACGGAAGCTTTAGGAATTTCTGTTGCTTAGAGAAATCTTTCCTGGAGTACAGGGTGTTTCACAATAGAGCAGTTCCACGCGAAATAGGTAAATTACCAGATTTGAGTCATTCCAATATAAATGAAACTTTGTCTATGTTTTAGACAGGGAGGAATATGAATCATCCATAGATATTTAAACCATCTCGACTCAAGCGTCTTACGTTGGTTGATCGATCGAGTTGACAGCGATCGGACGGAAGAAAAATGAGGAAAAACTGCAGCAGGAGATTGTTTTTTGTGTAAAAATATTTATTTGAGCGGGATTCTCTCTGTTCATACTATTTAGTTTTAGTAACCCTATGATTGCTCTGAAAAGAACGTTTTGATATGAAATTTAGTTCGGACATGTTCAGAAATTTAACTCTTTTGGAAAATCATGATGGCCCTGAAAAGGGGTGATGGTAGTACAGGCTCAAAGCCTTTGGAAGATGATGATGACGTGTATGCAGCTGGATCAGCAAATCGGACCGGACAATTCCATATTCTTCGGTTCAATGATTGGGCACTTGCAAGAGTCTCGGCCCGT